CATATCTAACCATACTTAAATTTGACAGCTTTGAAGTCAAACCAAGTTATACATTTTGCTTAAAAGATAATGAATTAATGTGAAAGCCTGGCCTGGCACTCAGGTTTTCTCACTGTCTTACTGCGGGGTCAGTACGGGTCACCAGAAAGGCAGAGAGGGTCTGAGAAAGTGTGTGTTAGGAGGTGACTAGAGGAATCCATCTCTGAGAGATGCTGCCCATTTAAGAGAGCAGTAGAGATTCATGATATCAGTAGAGGGGCTTCAGGGTTATATAGAAGATGAAGGTCTCTATCCTACCCAAATCTCTAGTGTTTCCTGCTATTCCTTTAGCCTGTGTGTGTGATTAATTTTGGACTTCTAAACTTCAGTACACACACAGAGCTGGAAGGGGACGCTTAGTAACTGTAGTGGCATGAAGTGTCTTGTGGATCCAGAGGAATTAACAGCTCCAGGGAGGCTAACATCAGATTTCAGAGGGACTTGTGTGAACTGACGGTAGGACAACAGAGCAGTGGACCAAGAGCCAAGGTCACCCACCTGGCTGCAGCCCAAAAGTGCAACTTGTGTATGAATGCAGAGTTACAGTTTCTCAATCACTGACTATTGCCTGCTTACTATTGATGAAGAGTGTGTGTGTGTGTGTGTGTGTGTGTGTGTGTGTGTGTGTGTATGCTCACAAGTACATTTTAGACTTCTATTTTTCCAAACACATGAAAACTGAATGCAGCTTCAGAGTGTGAAATGTGCTTAGCACAAGCTAATACTGCCTTTGCTCTTAACCCTGGATGAGGTCCTGGTGAGAACATGTGTCCACTCTTAGATGTAAATGAGAGCAGATGTTAGGACGTAGAAGAAGTGAGAGCAGCAATGCCCAGTAGAAAGAGAATTTGAGCCATATACGTAATTTAAAAATTTCTAGCAGCCATAGTAAAAAGGAGCAGGTGAAATTGATTTTAATATTAGACTTTATTTAACCCAATATGCCCAAAAACTACATAGTGAGCTTTTGTCATTTTATTTTGCACTGAGTTTTTTAAATCAATGCACATTCTTACTGCATATTTCATTCATTGCATATTTGCCACATTTCAAGTGCTCAGTAGTCACATGCTGCTCCTGGCCACCATATTCAGCAGTACAGCCTTAGAGGAACAGCTATACGAAGCTATTCAGTGGGCAGAAAGTGAAAGTGGTATCTTTCTAAAAGATTCGAAGACATTTATTACACAGCCTGCATACCCATGTTTATAGCAGCACAATTCATAATAGTTAAATCTTGGAAGCAGCTTATATGACCATCAGCAGATGAAAGGATAAAGAAAATACAGTGTTTATTTGCAGAAGAGTATTACTCTACCATAAAGAAGGATACACTGGAGTCATTTATACGAAATGGATGCACCTTGAGACTGTTATGCTCAGTGAAATAAATCAGACCCAAAAGTTTAAATATTGCATGGTTTCTCTTAAATGAGAAGCCCAACAATATAAATAAAGACAAAATAAAAGACAAGCTAGACAGTAAATAGTAGGGAGATAGACCTTTTTCAAGTGGGAAGGGGATCAGGAAATGGAGGGGGATGTGGAAGAGGAGGGCAAGGGGATGAAAAAAAGAATTGAGCTTTGTTATGTACATGACCAACTCCCCACAAGGCCTGTGATCTTTGTATGGTGCAAACAGGTACTAATGAAAAATAAAAACTGGATTATAAAATGGGAACAGGAAAAGAAAAAAAATATACCTCAAAGGGGAAAATGTCTGAGGGTTAATAGCCTCTGAAGGCAAAGGCTGATCCCTGTGATGGATCTGAAGAGTTTCTGTCTTCTCTTAAGAGTCCACCCCATGCCATGGCCACCTCTGCACACACACAACAACTTGGTTTGTATTTTAGCTGTATGTGATGTTGGTTTTTTTGGGTTTTTTTTGCGGTACTGGGAATTGAACTCAGGAACTTGCACTTGCCAGGCAGGCGCTTGTGCCACTGAGCTATATCCCCGGCCCCTCTATGTGATGTTAATTGAAAGGCAAACAGTGAGAAATTAAATCTGAGCTAATAGGATTAATGTTTATTTGCCTTTCTTTCTGCATTATTTGACAAACACAGCATGAGGCACCTGGCCCTTTCTGCCCCTTAGGAGTAGGGTTACATTGTACCGTTCAGGTGTGAAAGTGTGGCCTGAGACCGAAGAAGGTACTCACTGAGTCTCCACCATCCCTGCAGCAGTGTTGTTCCTTGGATCAGTGCTTGGATGTTATCTTTACTACACATCATACCTTTTAGAGAAGGAAGTACCTCTGAGCACCAGGAGTAGAGCATATTCAAGAAGTTACAGCGCCCGTTTTAAGAACAAGTAGAAGTTAGGTGTTGCTTTTCAGTTAAACCAGCAATCCCATCATAACCCAAGAGGGAGGTGATGTATACGTATTAAATTACTAAGGGACTCAGCATTTATGCTGAGTGGCTTTGCTGTCTTGTATAAGTCTTCAGTCTTCTCCCAGCTTTAAGATTCCCTCTTCTGTCCTCCCCAAGTCCAAAGACTAATATAAAACACAGGTAAGGTTTGTGCTTGTAAAATACCAGGTCCTTCTTACTGTATTTGATTCACTGATCCTCTTTTGGGCACCAACTTTTTGCATCTTTTTTTTTTTTTTTTTTGAGACAGCATCTTGCTACATAGTTCAGACTGGCCTTGAACTCACTATGTAGCCTAGGCTGGCTTGCAGCAATCCTCCTGCCTCAGCCTCCTGAATGCTGGGATTACAGGCAGGCACCACTATGCCTGGCTACCAACTATTTGCTATATGGTGATAAATCCAATAAGAATTTTAGGATTAAGTTGATTGAAGGATGTTGGGGGCTTTTATAAGCTGTGAGGATCATATGTAGAGAATGCACATCCTGTCTTCATATTGATTTGATCTGAGGATATCAGGCCACCAGCTAGATTTTTGGAAATGTGTGTGTGTGGCAGGGGAGACTTTGTGTGTGTGTGTGACAGAGAGAGAGAGAGAGAGAGAGAGAGACAGAGACAGAAAGAGTCAGAGACAGAAACTCTTGTTTCATGAAGTGTGACCAGACCTGTCTTGGCATGCTGTTGGCAAATAATCTCAGATTGAGATAACTGAGGTCCTCTGCAACCTTGTTTCCCAAAGTTAGTTTGAGAATCAACAGTGACAGCACCACCAAATAAAAACACAGTCTGCATTTCAGCAAGTTCCCACATGATGGCTCGCTGTTAGAGCTTGAGATGTACTGCGCTGTAATAGTTTAACTAATAATGGTTAAAAGGAGCCTCAAATCCTGTAGCTACTTACCGGGCAGCTCTCTTCCTCTTAGGTAGCTACTCTTGTTTTTGAACAGCACTCACTTTTAGAAAGTTGCCCTTTTTTTCAGGCCACTCAGAGTGCCAAGAATACGTTTCATTCTTCTGAAAGCCCGCACAGGAGGTGCTTGGAAATGTCCCTTCCTCCCCTGTGTTACATGGAAGCCTTGATCAGAGGATGGGGAACGATGAGTAGAGCCACACACGGCAGCTCTCAGCCATGGGGCAAAGGGGTACAAGTGCTGAGATGCTGTTGAAGGAGCATGAAATGGTTCTGCCTCTTCCTTCACTCTTGCCACAGTTCAAGGGGATGGATTGGAGTGGTCACAGTTTGAAGGAAATTTAGAGAGCCAGAGACTTCCCGAAGAATGAGAGTATAGCAGTGAGGCCTGGCTAGAAATTGGTTCTGCAGAGCATGCTAGAAGATGAGAACATTTACAGTGGAAAGGAGAAGTGAGTGATGTGGTGCTCTACCTCTCACAGTCTGTGTGGCAGCGAGGAGTGCACTAAGCCCCTCTGAGCAGCAGCTTTCTGGGTATTTTAAGAAAACAGGATGATCAACCTGTTGGGCTTTTCAGTAGCATTTCTGGGAGACTCGCTGATGATTATGTCAGTGAGCATACTTGATAAAGTGGAAGATAGTTCAACATGAAAGACACAAAGCAGGACAGGAGTGGAACCCAGACACATCTGTACTTAGTTGCTGTATGACCTCAGGGGAGCCCTTCACTCTCTGTGGGCATCTCTATGAAACAAGTGGCTCCTACACAAACATTTCTAAGGTCCTGGAGTTGCTGTGGACCGTTGCAATTATTGAATGGTACCTGGAGGGTTTTCCAATATTTACTCAAAAAGAATTCCCAGCACTTGGATCTGAGTCCTCTCTGGGGGAAATTATTTCAAGCAGTCTTTCAGTGAAAGCCTGGCCTCCACCATGAAAGCCCTGCTCAAAAGGCAGGTCTGCAGGCCTTCATTGCCCCTGTTTCCATGTCAACGTGGTATTTGGGCTGAGTGATGGTCTCATCTCTGTATCTGCGTCAGGACATGCATTCCTTCTTCTGGGGACAAGCTCTGCCCTATGAGCCTTCTGAACTCCATTCAGATCTATGAAGTATGTCATATGCAGATTTTTCCAAAGAAGTGGTCTTGTTTGCTACTTTGAATATTACCCAGTATTCTTTTGCAGTTTTTGTAAGTATCCAATTGTGGCAGATCTAATAGTTTTACAAGCCTACTCTGCTAGAGGCTCCCAGTCAACAAATACTTAAACTGGCTTTGGGGTAGCAGCCCTTCCCTAGCTGCTTCTTAGCTGAGAGTGAGGTGAACAACTGTATGTGGCTCATGTAGGGATGATGTCTTTGCTCCAAAAGACATCCCTTTTATGTCTCTCTCCTGTGAATCTGGGGACCATGTGTTGCTTACTTTCACCTGTTGCAGCCATGTTTTCAATTTCCCATTTCATTGCCTGGATGCTTGCTTCTAACTCTGTACTTTTGCATTTTCTCCTCTGCATCCACCATGTTGTCATGGAGACTCAGTGGCCATGTGCCGCGGGTATCCTGTGTCATCTGAGTGTGATGGTGTGGTATGTGTATTTGCTCACTCTTTTATTTTGAATCCTTCACAATGTGACATCTGCTAAAATGTCTCCCTTATGATTTGCTTGGTGATCACAGCCTTCTCATCATTCATTGAGAGCAGGACCTGATCTCACAGAATCTGAAAAGAGCTATGTGGTAAGATGCCTGTTGAATAAGACTATGGTATCATTTCTAAAGAAAATGCTTACTGACTCCAAAGTTTAGAGTAATGACTGGTTAACTCACAGAGCCATTATTTACAAGAGTCAATGGCTATTGTAGTAGAACCAAATGTTAGGTCAACCCTTAAAAACAGCAGAGAAATTTAGAGATTATTTTTCCACTCTGCCTATATGTGAGATTAAATTAATGTATTAGTGCATGATTGGGGTTACATAATGGCATTTCTGTCCTGAGATAATTTCATTTGTAACAGTTACTCACTAATTACAGGCTTTTATGCTACTGCCCTTCTGTTTTTTAATATTCATACTAAATCCCAAATTCTTCTGTATCTTACCTGTTTTTCCATGCTTACACCTGGATTCTTCCTGTACTCCACTACTGGAATATCTATTTTTTTACCCTGGATCTTCAACTCTGTTTTTCCCTGGACTTATGTGCTTCGTCTGGAATGTTACATCTCTTCTCCTCTCTCTCTTTTTTTATTTTTGGTCCCCATGTTGACTGTTCTATGGGGGTATCTGGATATGTCGGGGCCACCTCACAGGAAGCAGTTTGCAATGAGATCATAAACATTGCCGAAAAATCTGTTCATTACTGCAGCACTGTCTCTCATCCCCTTGACTTTCATCACAAGGTATCCCCTTCTGACAATAAATCATCTTTAATCATTTCTCAGCAACCTCAAGCCCAGCAGCGAAGAGTCACCCCAGACAGGAGTCAAACCTCACAGGATTTGTAAGTACACTTGGCAAATTTTGGTTTTCATGTTCTTGGTGTACTTTGGCCCTAGACAGGAGATCACTGGCTGGCTATGGGTATAGACATTTGGAGAAATGAGAAAATCATTCCCTTCCTTCTCTGAGGGTTTCTAATGAAGGCCATGTTTCCTGTCAGTCACTGTGAAACAGGTGGTGAGTAAATAAAAGAGGTTGTGGACTACGAGGGGACAGAGCCTGGTGAAGAATTAACTGATATACAGGGGCAAAGGAGAGTTTTACTGCTGGCATTCAATGCTAGTTTCCCAGCAAACATAGGGAAAAGAGCAGTTAATTCTGACCAGAAATAAACAATTGTTTCCTTCATTCAAAAATTTATTTGATATTTCCTATGCTTTAGCATATAGGAAATTCTGTTCACAGAAGAAGGGGAGTTTGAAGCAAGCATTGAGAGAAAATTGGATCATGGGAACTAAAATAGGAAAGAAAAATATCTTTCCATATGAGACCACATATGCAAAGGCGTGGAGTGGGCATATACTTGTGTGACCACAGTAGATTGTTTATGAGCAGATAGATCTGAAGCTCAAAACAAGGATGGGACCAGATGGTAGGTTCCACAATGCAGTTTTGATTTTATTCTGCAGCTCCAAGGAATCCACTGAAGGCTTTTGAAGTGGACAACATATTGATCATATTTTTGTTTTAGGGAGATAATTCTGAAAACAGAATAGAATTGAGTTTCAGAGACAAAGGACTTAAATCATTGTTTAGAAGATACAAACCTAGTAAAGAAGTAAACAGGACCTTAGCTAGGACAGAATGGTCTCTTTGTACCTACGGAAGTATATGAGGTTACCCGCGGGGATACAGGCTAGCCAGAGATGTAGATGATGTTCTAGGAATGCTCACTTTCCCAGACCAGATCAGGTGACATGTGGTCAGCAGTGGCACCTACCTCCAAGAGGCCAGGGTAAGAAGCAAGAAATGTCCAGCAGATGTTCTTCTTGTCACCTGGAAAAATCAGTGTTGACCTCTGATATAGCACCATCAGCAGATGTTCCACTGGACAGGGTTAATGTAAGGTTGATGCTGAATGGGGGTGGGAGGTGCAAAGCAAGGAAAAATATGGACAGAGCCAAGACGTAAGCACATCTGCACCAGAGGAGGAGTTGGCAGAGTTGAATAATGCAAATGAGAGGATGTAACATTCATCAAATGTTGATAAGACAGAAATGAGGTTTAAAAACTCACTAGCCTTGTCAGCATTTGAGTCACTTACTATTCATTTTTCTCATTTGTAGCTATAGCTACCAAGCATTATACAGCTACACACCACAAAATGATGATGAGTTGGAACTCCGAGATGGAGATATCGTTGATGTCATGGAAAAATGTGATGATGGATGGTTTGTTGGTAAGAACATCATCGTGCTTTTCTTCCTAGTTGTGTATTAAAGCAAGGACTAGGAGTGACAAGCCGTGCAAAATGCAGTCTTCTTTGCACAAAAAGGAAAACTTTCTCAGTTTCTGTACCGTTCAATCTGCTCCAGAGATGGTGTTGATGTTACTAATGTTGGGGCTGAAAACCAAACATGACAGTGTCTGGAAGGCTAATTATCAAATTCATTATTGTTATTAATTAGATTTTCACTTATATTTTATTGTGTTTATATCTGTTTTACACTGGGAAATTTTATTTTTAAAGGTTTTATGAAACAATAGAAGAAAATTCTGATGAGGGCTCGGTCTCTGCCATGAAACTGAAGTATATGTGTAGATATCCCAAAGACCTTCATATTTACTCTAATAACCTTACTCAAAGAGTAACCTACTTCATTAAAAAACAAAGGAAGACTAGAGATGTAGATCAGTGTTAATGTGTTTGCTTAGCAGACACAGACCCTGGGTTCATCCCTTCAGCACTGCAAAGCGGCAACAAATAATTCATCTTTATAGGAAGGAAAGAAAAAAGTCAACATTTATTAAAATTCTATTACAGAGCCAAACACTGTGCTTGATATACTTTTAATGACATTCTTTCAACAAACATCCCTGCAAACGAAGATTTATCTGCATTTAATGATTCAAAAAGTGAGGGCCAAAGAAATTAAGTAACTGTAAAGATCACACACGTGGCAAGTTGTGAGGTCAAACTGTGAACTCAGGATGCTCATCCCTCCCCCGGCTTATCTTCTTTCTCCTCAGTTGTGAGCATAATGTTAGGAAGCACTGACTTCCTCATTGCTTTAATTTTCCCCTTTTTTCAAAGACCAGCTCTTCCCTGATCAGCATTTCCTAAGACAATGTCAGGCTGCAGTAATAAGAGCAGTGAGTCCTCAGCATACATGGGAAGACAGAAGGGTTTGTCTTGGCCTCACCAGAAGCTGAGAAAGTGAGCCAGTGTTCCCCAAGCTCCCAGAATCTGAGGCTGTCACTAGCTGAGTGGTTACCCTGAGTGGTTCTTTTCAGAAGAAAGTCAGATCTGAGAAGTCAGCAGCCACTGTAGTGCAGTGCAGTTCAGTAAAAGTACTAGGTAAGCCATACCGGAAGTTTAAAATTTTCTAGAGGCAATACTGAAAAAACTTCAGTGAAATTCTAATGTATTTTATAAACCTCTTGCTCGTAACATACCATTTGATCATGTAATCAATATAGAATTGTTTGTTTACGTTCTTTTCATACCAAGCTTTCAGAATCCAGGCTATGCTTTCTAGTTACAGCCCAGTTCACTGATGTCATGAAAAGCTCATTTTAGCCTAGCCATATTTCAGTTGCTGTCCCCGCATGTGGCAGTGATATTTGAGAATTCGGTGCTAGTGTGTGTTCGCTACTAGCGAACACACACTACGAAACTCTTCCAAGAGCATTTCCACTTTTGCGGAGCAGGGAGAGGGGCACGACTCTTTCGTAGAGGTACCCTAGACCCCTGGATGGGGAAATGTTTGGGGATGAATATCTTGCTAGTGTACCTCCATTACTACAAAAAGTATCTTAGCATTCAAAGTACAAGTAAAGTAGTCCAAAAGAACTTATTTTTCTTATCCATAAGGAGGGGTGCTAACCTGGCATTTTCCTTACCTGGAGTGAGCATGTTTGAGTTTCTTACCAGCGCTGGGTATTACCACCCCAGTTCTCTGCACCTGCTGGATCATCCTCCTTCAGGACTGAACTAGATGTCTTAAGTGACTTTAGCCTCCACCTGTTCTTTTTGCTTAGAAGTTTCACTTTGGCAAGGATCCAAACCCACCGGTTGCTGCTGCTTGAGCTGTTGTATTCAGCAGCAGGACACAAACATGAGGTCTAAGCCACCTGGGAAAAGGCAGTGATCAAATCAGGATGTCTTAAACTGAGATTAATGGAAACACAACATAGGTCAGCCCCTCCTGCTTTGGAGACTGGAGGAAAGGAACAAGATTAGGGACTTAACAGTTCTGGTCAAGGAGCAGCCCAAGAAGGGCTTTGTCGCAGAGGGTTCAGTGTCCTGGATCACTGGGACCTGAACAAGGTTGGTAGCAAAAGCAAGGAACCAGACTGTGGCCCAAGCTTCTGAGGGGAATGTCTTTTGCTGTGTACTCGTCAGGGACTGTTAGAAATCTTACAGTTTAGAAATTCTAAATCCTAGGTATCTTTGTGTTGGATAAATGTGCAAAGTCCTTCAAAAAGGAGAAATGTTTGAAAAACTAGTGAGTCAAGAGACCTGGATTCAGGCAAATTAGGAGCCCTGTGCAAAAACTGGGAGTCAAGAGACCTGGATTCAGATTTTACTTCTGACACTTATTCAATTAAGGGACCTCAGAAGTGTTGCTTGTGCTCTTTGAACCTGGGTTTCTCTTTTTGAAAAATAGGAATATTAGAATGCCTATCTTGCTTACCACCCAGCAAAAATGAGATAAGATAGAGGAAAGTGCTTGGAAACCATACACTCTTGTATAAATTGCAGGACTTTTATAAGGGACGCAGGCAGAAATCCATCTCTACAGTACTGTCCCTGAACTCAGTGGGTAGATCGTCTCATTTTATGTATGTGTGTGTTTTTTTTGTAGGTACTTCAAGAAGGACCAGACAGTTTGGCACTTTTCCAGGCAACTATGTAAAACCTTTATATCTGTAAGAAGATTGAAAAACACAGAGATTATTCTTATTGGAGAATGAAGCAAAATTCACACACCAGTCTCTTTATTTAAATATTGAACCAGTAGGAAAATTAATGCAGTGGATAAAGTAAGAAGTAAAAAAGAGGAATAGAGAAATGTTGTATTTAAAAGCTAAGCTTGTGTATCAAGGCTGAGCCATATGCTGGGCAAAAATAATTAAGGTAAATCTGTATTTACTTACTTGCTTCTGGAAGCTGCTCCAACCTTCCGCGCTCCTCCCCCACTTGGGTAACCTGACCTAAAGAAAAGTCCAGGAGTAGAGTTAGGCAGAAATGCTTCCTGCTAACCTGGCCTTAACAAGCCCCATATCAAAGGGGACCTTGAGCCGAAAGCAAGCTTTGGGATGCCACACAGGTCCCCAGCCATGACCCAGAGGTGCTGAACCTGAGCATCTACTGACTATCTGATCCTCCATCCCTGGCTACCCTGGAGAAAGCTGATCCCCAAGAGCTGCTAGGGTTCAGTGTAGGCTGCTATCCCTTGACGGGGTGAAAGTGCCCAGCCTGTCCGAGGTAAAAATCTATCCTCCGACCTCCTGAGGTCCAGGGAAGGAAATGGAGGCAAATTAGGAGCCCTGTGCATAATGGCTGTTGTGCAGCATTGCTGTCGATGGCTGTGATGTTCAGAGAGAAAAGCACAAAAGGTTCATCCTGAGAACTGAGGAGAAGATAGCCGGGCAGAAATGTTATATTCTTGTTTTCATGTGATCATGTCAGGAAGCCCTGCGGATCTGGAGATCACTTGCAACGTGTCCCTTTCCCTGGCTTTTGTAAACAATCAACTTCAGGGCAGTGCAGTTGCATTTATAAGGCCTCTGTTGCTAACCTTTTATTTCTGACTTGTGTTTGGCTGGAACAGTTTGGGATTGGTAGGCCTATTCTCATAGGAAATCCAGAGCAGTGTGTAATGATTCATTTAAAATGCATCAGTGTGTGTTGGCTTCTGGGACACCCGTGAGTAAGACACGCCCAGTCCTAGAAGGACTCCGTGTCTCCAGTTTTACACTCTAGAAGAGTTCAAGGGCTGCTCAGAATATAGACCTTAAGGCTGTGAATCCTGAGACACCTGATGAGACATCCCCACAGGGCAGAGTGCAGAAGCAGCTATTCTGCCACTAATGGCAGCCTCCAGGAAGTCTGTCTTTGATGGGTGCTGGATCTGAGGGAGTCCTGTGACACCCAGAGTTCTTAGTCACAACTGTGTGCAAGTTGTGACAGGGATGTCTGTCAGCTTCTCTGTTAGATCCTTTAGTGACACAAGGATAGAAGTGAAATGTTTCCTGCCTGCCAGGAACTTGGAGGTGACTGGGGAGACACAGAAAAGGACCTTAAGACAGACTGTGATAAGTGCTAGGAAGGTGTGCGAGGAAGAGAGGAGTTTCTCCTGGAAGGATCCTAGAAAGCATCGTCATACTTCTGTCTCCATTAGTTCATTTTTGAATAAGTAGGATGCCTGGAGAGCTTTTGTCCCAGGTAGTTTGTGGCTGGAAATACTTGGAAGTTTTTCCACAGCCTTCATACTCTCATTAGCCCCACAAATATAGGTTCAAGGTCACAAATAGATGTAGCAATTCTCGGTCATAGGTTTGTGTCCTGGAAGCCCTGGATCTCTCTGTGCATGTCTAAGAATTGCCCCAGAACCAGTGCTCCCAAATCTGGAGTCTTCACGAGTAAGCAAAATTTGTGTTCAGCACCCTGACTCAGCTGCTCTTCCAGATGCCCATCTTAGGATCCTACCACCGCCCACCAGTCCGCTGCAGTACCCTCACCTTCTTCATGTGCTTCTTTCAAGGAGGCTCTCAGGAAGAAACCAAACTGTAAATGACTCACAAGGGGAATGAATGTGTTACCTCTCCCCACAGACATTTGTTTTGAACTAAAATGGACCAGAGCCTTAATCCCAAGGAAAAAGACTGTGAAATTGTGCGGAAGGGGATTTCTGGATAGAAAGAGGCTTCATGATTTTCTTTAGGTCTCAGTGACAGTAAGTGAAAGGTCTGCTCCACCGTTCAGGAGCACTGTTGTTTCATTTTCTCCCTCTCTCTCTGAGGGAATACAGTAGAAATGCGTATGCACGTGCATCTTGCACGGCAGCATTACTCCCATTTTGGAATGTAATCCTTGTATTGGCTAATATGTTTCCTGGTCTTTCTTAGATGCAAACCATTAATAACGTGATATAATCTAATAGTCTTTTGAGGGGTGCTTCTTGATTAAGTAGGTAATTTTGAACACCTCTTTAAATACAGCTAGAAAATGAAACCAATTTGTAACACCACATTTGCATACAATGCCAGCCTCACATCTTTGTATATTGCCCAAAATCCAGGTATGACTCATCAGTTTGCCCATCTTTAATAAAATATGTTAAAATGCATTACTTTTGCTTCCTATGTATCACAAAACAAAGAACAAGTATTTCCAATTACTCTTTTGTCTTCAGACATTTAGTAATATAAAGTACCTATTTTTATGCTGAAATGTTTCTACAGGTTTATTACAGCAGGTGCAACTAACTGATGCATGTCTTGAGACACATTTTGATATATTAGCCATGCTTCCAGGCAAAGGCAAGCCCAAACTACTTATCTTTTGCAGTCTCTCTGGGATCAGTAAAAGAAGAAAAAAAAAATCATGTGCTTGAGAAGTGGGACTGTAAATATGTATATTTAACTTTGTATAGCCAGTGTACCTACCTTGTATAAAAAATAATTTTAAAAATTTGAATGAAAGGGGGGAGAGATAAGGAAGTCATGAAGTTTTTTGCTTTTTTATTTAAATGAAAGAATTCCATATAACTCACCTGCAGACTTTAGCACAAAAATAGCCATCATACACTGTTAAAATTTGCAACAATTATTTTCTTGGGAGGAGAAAGTATGATCTCAGTTATAATTTTTTAAAATTTTGTTTCATTGATGGATTTTTGCAGTCCTATTTATCTGCAGTAGCATTAAGTTCTATTGCTAGAATAGGTTACTACAAAAATACATTCTGAAAGAAAAGCAACTGACATGTATAACCAATTAATTTAAAGTGTTCCACTTAAATTACACACTGAGAGCATGTACTATGCAGGCACACTTTTTTTGTTCATTTATTTTTCTTTATTGCGGTGGATTTGATAAATAGATGTGTTGAATTACTATCTTTATTGTACATATTATTTAATAAACTTTCTTCAGAATTGCGTGGCATATGTTTGTTCTTGGAATTCATTGGTTCTTTTCTTCCCTTGACTAATTTTCCATATGATTCTTGCCATTTTTAGCCTTGGTGGTAGGGAAAAAAATCGAGTGCCTTCACACTGAATTACAACCCCAGTCCCTTTATCGTTTTATTAATTTTTTATTTTAAAACCGGGTCTTGCTAAGTCATTAAGTAACCCAGGCTGGGCTTGAACTAATGCTGTTCCTTCCCATCCTCCCAGAGTGCTAGGATTGTAGGCGTGTGCCACCTTGCTCAATTCTGAGTCACTTCCTCTCTGGCTTCCACACCTGTTTGAAGATGCCACTTCTTATTTTTCTCTCAATAACCTAACTCCATGACCCTGTCTAAATTGACTACCATTAGCTATTTCTAAAAAATACTATTTGATGACAAAAATAATGCACATGTGTTTTTCAAAGCAAAACTAAAACATTATAAGATATATACAGTAAGTCTTGATTTTCTCCTCAATACATAGGACAAAGACAGCACTTAGTTTTCTTAAACAAATTAAATCTGACTATGAATCTCCACTTACTATGGTAGTGTTATTGTTTGTGTCTGGATGTCCCCCAAAGCCTCATGTAGTTACCAGGGGCAGGCTTTTCAGAGGTGGCTTAATCTGTCATGTAATTGGTTCATAGTCTAATGCTGGGATAGAGGGTGTGAGTGCTACACCCACCCTGGAGTAGGTGCCTGCATACAATATATGGGAGGAAAAGAGGCTTGCTCCCTTTCCCTTCCATTGTTGCTTTTGGTATTTTTTGCCACCATGAACAGTTTCCCTGCTGCTGTGCCACCCTACCTTGGATCCAGCTGCTGATTATGGACTGAAACCTCTACAAACTGTGAGCAAAATAAACCTTTCCTCCCTTAACTTTGGGTGTTGAGCATTTTGACTCAGCTTTAGCTTTTTCCAAAATCGAGTGTATGAGAATGTGGACTTACATAAAATACTCAATTAAAATCACAAAAAAGCATAAAAGGTGTCAAAATTAAAATAGAAATAAAGAACAAGGGCATCAAATAGAAAACAGTAAAAATTGAGAATTATTCCAAATACATCAGTAAGGGTTTTAAATGTCACTAATATAAATTATCACTTAACAGAGATTGTCAGAGTTTAACAGAAAATAAAACTCAACTATTTGCTGTCTATAAGAATCCCATTTGAACCATAAAGACATATAGAAAGATAAACTCGAGGCTTTTAAAAGTAAATGGATACAACTAGAGACCATACTCACAAGTGAAATAAATCAGACTCACGTATAAACATCGTATTGTCTCCCTAGTGTAAGAAACTCAAAGAGTAAATAAGATCCAAAAGGTACAATAGATATTGTGAAAGGGAAAGAACAACTGGGATCAGGGGAAGGAGAAAAGGAAAGGGAAAAAAATACACACACACACACACACACACACACACTAGCTAAGATAATTGTACCACTAGTTTGTATGAATTTATTGAAAAGAATAGTTAGTACTTAACATTGTTTGATCAATTTTACATGCCTAGATCTGATAATCTGAGCAACTACTTTGAAGATAATCTGCAATATGATAACCATTGTTAATTTCCTATCATCTTGTTTTGAAATTTTGTATTTTTATTGTTTTTTATTCCCTTTAAAATAAAAAAAATTTAGAAGCAAAGGAATGGAAAAATACCACAATAACAGTAATCAAAGTGTGAGTAGTTGCATTTATTTCAGATAGAACAGACTTCAGAACAAATGAAGTTACCAGGAATTTTTTAAAAAAGGTATAACTGATGATATGAACAAATATATTAAAATTGGAGAGAGTAATTACAATTACTGTACAATTCTCATTTCTGTAACTGGTCAAGTGGGCATAAATTGGTATTTACAACTACAGTACTTCCTACTACCCATTCTGTATTCCCTTGATCTTCAGCAGGCATCTCAGCAGATCTTGGTTCTTCCCCCGGCAAAGTGACACATACCTTCATTCCTAAAGATTCTGGATCATTTGGCATTCTGCCTGGAGTGGATTGTTGTAGATTCTATTGATCTTAACAACAAGGCATGATAATACTAGAATGTTTCCTAAGGGATCTCCTGTACTCCAAGTCTATTCTTCCTTTCTCCCGTTACTCCTTGATAGCCTAGACCAGTCACCCCTGCCAACACCATAACTTCATTTTAAGCCTGTTCACTCAGAGACATTAGTAGCCCAAAATGAACAGGGGAAAATCTTAGTGTCCAGTTCAATGGAGTCACTGTTGTGCTTCTTAGTACAATTCTTCCCTCTCTGGAATGAAGATTTGTAGGCCAGCAGAGCATAAGGTAACAGGAACAGGAAGCAAAAATTTTGCTAGTCATTAAAGGTAATGGTAGCACCGGTCTTCTGACCGGCAGCTCGCTCCCTGCCTCGTAGGCCCCCGGAGGGAGGGCCTCCGGCACACGGGGAGCCACGGGTGGGGAGTGCCTGTCTTCCGGCTGGCTCCCTTCCTGCCTCATAGGCCCCTGGAGAGAGGGCCCCCGGCGCATGGGGAGCCACAAGCGGGGAGCGCTGGTCTTCCAACCGGCAGCTCGCTCCCTGCCTTGTAGGCCCCCAGAGGGAGGGCCTCCAGCGCATGGGGAGCCACTGGCAGGGAGCGCCTGTCTTCTGACTGGCTCACTTCCTGCCTTGTAGGCCCCCGGAGGGAGGGCCCTCAGTGCACAGGGAGCCATGTGGCCGAGAGTGCTGTGGTGCGCCAGCCTTCAGGCCGGCTGCCGCTGCTCAATTGAGAACTATCATGACACAGAGAAACAATGACACAATTGGCCCACCATGCACCGGCTGCAGATGCCCACCTAAGGACGTGTGTGAATCATTCAAACATGGAAAAACCCCTGGGAACACATGCTATACAACGGGCCATTCTTGCTCCTGCCATTGAGAACCAGAAAGGTCTAGAGTCAGCAGAGGAGCAGCTGCTGAACAAGGACTCGGAGAACAGGAGAATGCAGACTAAGCCCGAGGAGTCAGAGGTCCTGTGGACTGGGTTCATGAAAGCCGTTCGGAAGCTGTAAACCAGGAGGACCTTGCACAATACATGCAGAGACTCATTGGAAGCCATTCTTCCCCTGACAGTACAGGCTGTGGTGGAGCCTGCAACAGGAGAAGTCTGCAACAGGATTCCTGCTGCCTGTGCTGATGGTTGGGGAGAGGACACTAACTGGTTGTGGGGTCCCAATGCGATGGGAGGCTGGAGAGGAAACGCTACAAAAAATGGCTTTGGCCCCAGATGGCTCACTTGATTTTGGACAACCCTTAGGCTGTAACTATTTGTTAGAGCCTTCTTGCATATCTCTGTCTTCCTGAGAAACCACTTCCAAGATACCAACATGTATTACAGCAGTCATTGATATTTTCCTGCTAATCTATCCATAACTCTGTAATGTTTGTATTGTTCCTGTCCTATTTCATAAATGGATGCATGTTTATTATTATGTTTCCTACAACAACCATTGAGAATAGTTAATGATTATTCAATAGGTCACTCATGTATAGTTCTATTTATTTTCTTTTGAAGATACCTAAGTAGAGTACAACAACTATTGATAATCTCCTACCTCTTTTGTCTGTAACTCACTATTATTTGTCTATTTGTTTTCCTGAGAAACTATCTTGTAGATAACAATATGTAAAACAATAACCATTGATAATTTCCTACCACTTTGTCTGTAATTTGGTAAGCCCCCCCCATTATTGTTATTCTTTTACTCTTTAAAATAAAAAAAAAGATAAATTATAGTGCAGAAATGCAAACGTCCCCACTTTTGTCTGACATTTGGACTGTTAATTAGTTTCTGCTTATTGTTACATTCCATCTTCTCTGTTTTACTTGTGAATAAAATACATAAATGTAAATACATTTTTACATACCCAGAAAAAAAAATAAAATAAAGGTAATGGTGAGTGATGCTATTCCCACTTCTACCCTTTGATTCCTGGACCTATGAATCCTGGATATGAGAGACATGGTAACATATACAGTAGTGGATGCTGATTCAAAGCATATACTGCCTTTAGAAAAACCTCACCCCAGCCCTGCAAAGTATTGCTATGTAGCTGGTGTGTATTTGCATCTTAAAAAGGCTAGTCCACATTTCTATCAATCCAGCTGCTTCTGAATGCTGAGGAACATGGTAATATCAGTGAATTCCATAAGCATGAATCCATTGCCTCACTTCTTTGGCCATGAAATGTGTTCCTTGGTCAGAGGCAATGCTGTGTGATTAAGGCATAACAGTGGCTAAGGTATTCTGCAAGTCCATGGATGGTAGTTTTGGCAGAAGCACTATGTGCAGAGAAGATAAACCCATACCTGAAGTAAGTGTCTATGCTAGTAAGGATGATATACTGCCCCTTTCATGAAGGTAGCAGTCCAATATGGTCAGCCTACCACAAGGACACAAACTGATCACCTTGGGGAATGGTGTCATATCACAGCCTTGGTGTTGATCTCTTCTACTTGCACACTGGGCACTAGATCAGCCTTGGTGAGTGGAAGTGCTTGTTGCTAAGCCCATCATAACCTGCATCTCTGCAACCATTGCCATTTTATCATGAACTCATTGGGCAATGACGGGTGGCTCAAGAAAAAGGCTGACTGCTATCAGGTCACCCTATCCACTTGATTATTAAAGTCCTCTGCCAAAGTCACCTTTTGGTGAGCATTTACATGAAACACAAATATCTTTACATCCTTTGCCCATATGGAAAGGTCTGTCTACGTACTTCTTCCCCCAATGTCTATGTCATTAATTTTTCAGTGATGATCCTTGCAAGTCCCTGGCCATCTGGCCAGACCTTGACAACAGCCCACTAATCAGTATATAGTTGCACATCTGGCCATTTTTTCTTCTAGGAAAAATATCTGACTGGCTATACTGTCTGAAGTTCTGCCCACTGTGCAGATTTCAGGGATGTTCTGGAAAGGGGCTATAATGCTGTAGCTGTATATTTTCAGATG